CCCACGAATTCAAACCAGTTTGAATTTTTGGGACAAGTCCCTGCGACTTGTTGCTCAAAACGCTTCGTGTGAACTGTTCGTGGGACAAGTCCCTGCCACCAGCCCCTACGTGTAAACTCTTCAGGGGACTAATTGCAGGGACTAGTCGCAGGGATTAGTCCCCTCGTGTGTGCGACCTTAATGACGCGGCTTGTCTCGGGCGCTTGGAACGTTTTTAATTGCTTGTGTGATATGTTCGTCATTTTCAGTGTCGAAAAGATGAAGACGATGAAGACGATGAAGACATCCCTATGGAAAACATCAGATTTGTTGAGCCCGGAATTAAGAAACCAAACATGATTAATCTGCAGCACCATGACAAATACGCCTACGCACCCGAGAGTAAACTCTGAAAGAACAGTGCAATCTAACTGAACTGCAGTGTCTGCAAACAGAATCTCGTTATAAAATGAGATAGGGTTAGGCCACCCACGGGTTTAACAGGTTAAACTGGTTATCTGTGCAAGGTACCGAAAGTAACTTCCTCGTAAATTTAAAAGAAGCTCAGTGTACCCTACATAAAATACAGAAGATATAAATCGTATAATTTTGATTAATTGTGGGATATTTCAACAAGCTATGTCACCACTCTGCGCAAGAATAAGTAAGTAAGCCCTTGATAAGGCATCATCACCAACGACAAATGAGGTGACCATTATCATAAAACAGCGAATGAGATGACGATATTCAAAAAGTATGCAATATTTTAAAGATGATCAAAAAGCAACAAGGATGTTTGAAACTGAAGGGCCAATTGAAACTGCAAAACAAACCAAAAACATTACAAGCTTAAAATTATGTAGCARCCGTGACCTAGRTTCTTTGGTGCTTTTAAGTTGCTAAACATGCCTCGCGGTATCGTCACACTGGAGGCGACAGACCAGTTTAAGGATAATTCCCGCGTATTTGTATGTTCTTGGTTCAGCTTTTCGTACACTGTAAAATTATTGTGCTGCTAATATATACATTTGCTGCTGTCAATCTGTTATGTTTAAATAGTAATACGGAGACATCTTTATTACTTCAAATCTTGCCTTGAGAAATAATGATTTTAAGTGTAATTTTGGTGCATTGAAATGTGCCCACAACGTAATTTCCATTAACACAATCATTTTTGTAGCTTATATTTGTATAGATAATCAAATGATTTCGAGTAAAATTTGAAATAAATAAGTCCAAGAACTAAAAAACCTGCACGAGCCTGTTGGGCGAGTGCAATTTGTAGTCTTTGAAAAATTCACGAGTGCTTATTTATTTCAAATTGCAATTGGATTACTTGCTAATAATAAACCATTATGTCATTTTAACTTTCCACCCTCAGAAAGTTAAAGCACTGAGCTTCAACTTTTTACATTACTTGGAACTAATTGGCGTGTTGTCAGCCAATAGGGACGCTTTAAGTTTTACATTTTTATTATTATATGCTAAAAGAACATTTTCAATTAAGATTTATGAAGTTTTAGTTATTTCCAACCTTTTTTTTCATATAGATTTCCTTTTAACATTTAATAGCAAGTTCTTATCATCATGAGAAAATTATTGCGCTTTCTATTACCTTTAATATTGTAGCTGTACTAAGGAGTGGTTGACTGTTTTTGATCCAAACACGTTTCGGATAATACTTTAGCCTTCGTCAGTTTAGCTACAGAAAGCTGACTTTCATTAGCGTTCTATACAGTTTCTCGCTGAATTTCTATTTATAGTCAGCCAAAACCGCCACAGAGAATAGAAATATGCATTCTCAAAAGGATTCTTCTGCAAAATTTTAAACGGATATTCATAGTTTATAAAATTATAGACGCTGTCGTGCCACTTTAAATGCGAAAAGGCACTAATGGGAGCGAAGTAAGACGAAATCATACAAAAAGCAATAAAAAATCTACAATCAAATGAAAGAGCACCTTGTTTTTGGTGACTTCATCAAAATCGACCTTACTTACATGAAAAGTGAATAAAATACAAAGTTCTAAAAATCACTCTGTTCAGTGCTCTCTACTTCAGAAATTGCGCCTTTTATGAAGAAGTTTATTTTATGACTGTTGAAAACGTTATATTCAGTTCCTGATCATAATGAAACAGTTTTAGATTTGGTAACAAAGGCCATTTCCTGAAGGATCGAAGCTGAACTGGCTCCCATACCTTTTTCGTTTTTAAAGTGGCTCCGCTTTACAAGCACAATAATTTGGTAAGCCTTTTGGTCTGACTTAGATGCGCAATTGCTTTTAAACCTTGTCGTAATAAAGACTATACAGAAAAAAAACTTTCAGCGAGTAAAATTAGTTTCTATATTGATAAAGGGAATGGGCCGCCAATAGTTGGCGATTTCGATAAGAGGATTTTGGGG